TTAACTAAACTAATCTACTAACTAAACTAAGTAAAACTACTAATTACAGGTTGGGAACTCACTTAGGTATGATTCCCCCTAGTCTGCAGTTAGGCCAAGTTGTAATTCACCAAATCCAATTCAGTTGACAAATATACTGCGGAAAGTTCTTGATAAGTCTGAAATCTCGACTAAAGTAATCCAGACGCTCTCAGTTCGAATACCCGGCAGGCGACTAACCTCCACCAGCATAAACTAACCAAGGCAATAACAGACCAAACTTCCTCTACTGACTTAATTACAGTACATAGCAGTGAATCGATTTCTCGACTAAAGCAATCAATCCACTACTTCCAATAAAGGTTGCTCTATTAACCTATGCAGAGACTATCATTCTAGGTTAAAGCAGGAATCACAAAAGTTTGATCAGGACTCAAGTAATTCTGAATCAATGCCTTAACTGAATATAAAACGTCAAACAATAATGAATTCGAGTTCATACAACTCTTCCTAGCATACAAATCTAGGGTTCCTCAAAACCTAATTGAAGGGAAGTTACTCCATAGAGAAGAGAGAGAATACAGAAATCTGATCTAAATCTTCAATCTTTAACTCCAAGCTTGATTCCTGAGCTCCAATGGTGAAGAAATCCTCCAAAATTGCTCCAAGAATGTTTCCAAGGTCCTCTCTCTCTCTCTAAGGTTTGCCCCTTGGGTGTTTGGGATCCGAAACTCAGCTCTCTCCCTTCAAAATTTGCAAAAAAAAACTCATTTATACAGCTCCCAAAGGCCAAGTTACGGGCAACGTTACGGCCAGCCCGTAACTTTGAAGGTCTACCCGTAATTTTGGATAGGCTGCTGCCTTTCAGTCATTTCTCCCTCATCCGAACTCCGAATTAGTCGTTGTTTGATCTCAGACGCTTGTAGTCTCGTCTTCCTTCTTTTCATGCCTATATTTCATGATTCTTTGTCCAATAAATGAGGTAGAAATCTATTCTTCCTTGGGTCATGCCCGAGTTTCTCCCCCCCCCCCCCCCCAATTCGCCAATTGATCTCCGATTGATTTGAAATTTGCGCCTATGCTTCACTTTACATGCTAGGACCTAAAATGTGACAAACGAACACAACCTAGCATAAAATAGGCCAAAGTATGATAAACACCAAGCTAAACAATCAAGAAATGAGGAGTAAAAATACGTGCAAATTGAGTGTTATCAACAACCATGGTTTCAATCCCTAGATTCTTTTGACAATCTTTTCCATAGTTCCCTTTGCTTAGTTGGATTCAGTTTCCATGCAATCAGAGGGACCCAAGTATTTGACAAATAATACATGCTCTTTAAATCTTACGGCTAAATAAGATATTCTTCAGATCATATGACACTCCAGCACAAAGCAACTCACTCTTACTTATGTTCAGGGGCGGAGCTACAGCATCCTTTGGGGGGGCCCCGGCCCCCCCGAGAATTTTGAAAGTCACGTGTAAAAGTTCGGTATTAGACGTATAAAATAAATGTTATGTATAAAACTAACCAACGTGAAACAAAACAATAAAAGTCTATGTAGTCTAGTGGAATCCCCCTTGCCCTCTCAACTAGTGGTCAAGGTTTCGATCCTTGTGGGAAGCATGGTATGTTTTTATCACTAGCTTTTTTGGTAATAGTTTATGTTTTGATTCCTACATAGTCAATTTAGTCTATGATTTTCATAATAGTTTATTTGTCATTCAAACTATTTTCAAAATTTCAAGGATAGTTTGAAATATGATGAATATTTTTAGTTATATGGCCTTTAAGTTTTTATTTAACTAAATTTTTTTATAAAATGCTTAAAGTTTCATAGTTGGTTTGTTAATTATTTAATTTTAAACAAGATTTAAGTTTTTATTTAACTAAAAAATTGATCAATGCTTGAACTTTCATATTTCGTTTGTTAATTATTTAACTTTAAATTAGATTGATTAAATTCTTCAATTTTAAGGTTATTTTTGAATATATAATGAATAAATTTGGTAGAATATTAATATTGGTAGACATTCGCCTTTAGTTACTAAAATCGTTTACGCCACAAAATATTGAAATGAGTTAGTAACTTGTATATAGTTTTCTGATTTATTCCAAATTTAATATAAATTTTTTGTGCGCTTTTAATAAAATAAAATGAGTTTTTGTTTAATAGAATTTTAGCTATTTACGGTAAAGTATCAAGAGAACTCCGGCCCCCCCGAAAGCTAAATCCTAGCTCCGCCCCTGCTTATGTTACCTTTCAAACCCAAAACTTGATAAACTTCTTTAATATTTCTGCTACAACTTGGACCATCCACTATTGAACATTTTGTGAATAGTAACAAGTCATACAGAGATGATAAATAAGTAAATCTTATTCAACGAGATTGAGCAGAGAATGTTTTTCTACAGCGCGGTTCAACATGCAAACTTGGTTACATGCAAGTCGGAACCTCCATTGTTATAGCAAACAAAGGTTCTATCACAATCCTTAGTCCCAATTCAAATTATCATAGTCCACCCTCGTTCGCTCAGACCCAACAGAATTGGCCAAAGGGAAGACTCACACTCACATTACAACATTTACCATACATATATACAATTTTAGTGAAACCCAAAACCTCTTCTTCCAATAGCTGACCAAGTTAATGAAAGCACTAGCGTATAATTTAGGTTTGGGAAGAAGAAAAGAAGATCAAGTCAAAGGTGCCCTACCACTACCAGAATGGCTTTCCACCAAAGCAAGTGGACAGTCTACACCACCGTAAACACATTCATGTAAATACGTGCGTGTGTTTTACATAACTTGTCTGTTACGATATCTTTAACCAATCCCGGCGGCGTAGTAACCGGCCGTCAACTTTATCAAATTTGATTTTCATTGGCCTCTCCAGACGTTGACAATATAAGTTCTCCAGTATATATAGTTTTGTTTTTGGTGTAGTTATTTTTTGGCTGCATTGTATGTCCTCGTTTTATAATCATCATTCTAAATATGTGATTTATGTCAAAATGATGTTAACTGTCATATGTGGTATGATGGTCAAGAAAACTTGTGTTTGCACAAAAATCATTACATATTATTTTGATTTGAAGAATTTAGAGTTTATTGGTTTAGGATTAGAATTTAGGGTATACAATTTGAGTTTGGAGTTAGAGTTCAAAATTAAATGTTTAGGACTTAAGATAATTCGTCAATAGTGTTATTCTATCTTATATCATCATATTCTACTAATGTTACCATTAAAATTCATTTAAGAAAACCCATGAGTCTTGCTACTAGTTCACGCCCTAACTCTCCCAAGCTAGCTTTCTTTTTCAAAGGCTGAAATTTAATAGCAAGCCCATGTCTCGTTCTTTGATCCGATCCACATTTCTCGGCAAGGAAGCGCGTTGATTTCTATGCAAATAACTTAGAAGCTAGGGCGAGGGTTTGATTCATAAATCATCGATCAATCGATCATCAAGTCAACGGTTACGGTGCCCCTACCATAATGGCTTTCCACTTAAGCAAGTGGACAGTCTATACCACCATAAACACATGCATGTAAATACGTGCGTGTGTTTTACATAACTTGTTATGGTATCTTTAATCAATCCCGACGGCGTAGTCACCGGACGTCAACTTTTCTCAATTATCAACATTCCATTTCGCCATCGGCCTCTCCAGCCATTACAACTTATAAATTCTCTTGAGCATTTATATATAGGGTAGTTTCTATCGTATTTTGAGTAAAATATAAGATACGACATCTCTGAATATGAAAACGCTATCTAAACCTCAAATTAACCAGATTTTTGGGTGATACTATACTCTAATCCTTGATGGGTGAACCCTAGATCTTAGTTATCTAAATCATAGAGTCTAACCCCTAAGATTGTGCATGTAATTTGTTGCATATATTTCAATAAATAATGACCGTCGAATTTTGTTTCTCGTTAAATTGATCTTAGTGTATGATATTTATAAAAATAAGACATAGATTTTAATCTATAAAGATTTTAATGATATATTTTAATCACATGAATTGCTTGCTCAGAATGACAATTACAAGACGAGTGCATTGAATGCACCCAAAAAATGAGTGCACCAAAAACAAAACTATATATATTATATATAGATGATGTTGTCTTTGGTGCACTCACTTTTTTTGTGCATTCAATGCACTCGCCTCATAATCATCATTTTAAGCAGGCGATTCATGTCAAACTTGTCACGTTATAATATGATGAACAAGAAACACATGAATTTTCATAAAAAAATCATTCAAAATTTTCTTCAATTTGAAGGTCTTAAAGTTTAGAAATTTAGAGTTAGAGTTTAGAATTTAGAATTTGGGGTTTTGGTTTGCGTTCAAAATTAAGATTTAGGGTTTAGTTAATGCATTGATTAGTTGTGATTATTTGTTATATTATCATATTGCACTAATCCTACCAAATATAATTCAAAATCCAACCTCTTAAAACTAGTTTAAGAGTTGGTGAATGGAATACACTCATTTTTGTGAGTGCACCGAAGTAGCCACTATATGTATATATACTCCAAGTGAGATATCACTATCTAGATCATGAATTAAATCTAGTTTGGAATATGTACTATACCCTAACCTCTAATGGATAAACGTCAACCCTCGATTCTCTAAACCCATAGTTCGATTTAATAGAAAACAACAATTGAGATTGATCGAAACTCATCGAAGTACATCTAACGGCTAATTCAACTGGAGTATAATATACTTCAGGACTATACGAGTCATTTTCATATATAGTCATATATATAAGTATCATTGCTAATAGTTCACGCACAATCTCTCTCTAGCTAGCTTTCATTTCCAAAGACTGAAATTTAATAGCAAGCCCATGTCTCGTTCTTTGATTCGATCCACATTTCTTGGCAAGGAAGCGCGTTGATTTCTATGCAAATAACTTAGAAGGGCGAGGGTTTGATTCATACATCCTCGATCATCTGAAAGAGAGATCAAATCGACTTTGTTTGCTTGCGTGAGGAGCTAGCTAGCTAGCTAGCTTGGCTTCTTCAATGGCTTCTTCGAATGGCGGGGTGCCTCCTGGGTTCCGATTTCACCCGACTGATGAAGAGCTACTCCATTATTACCTGAAGAAGAAGGTTATGTTTCAAAAGTTTGATATGGAGGTTATCCGCGAGGTGGACTTGAATAAGATGGAGCCTTGGGAGTTGCAAGGTACGTACATACATTACGATTCTCTTAATTATTTACTTGCTATCCTTAATATATCTGTTTGGTAATTTTGCTTTGTCAGATTATTAGTTTGGTAATCTGGCCAAAGTTTATAGTTAAATTATCCAAATTTTTGTGATTGTGCGTAATTAATTATATATATGTGTGTGTCTTGGAGAATTATCTAATTAATTAGGAGAAGGAAATCATCTTTATTTCTTCATATTACCGTAATTTTAGGACTACATATGGGCAAATTATAAATTGACGTACAAAACAGCTACACTGAGCTCATATTAAATTACATACAAATATTAATTATGTGGAATACTACCATTTTTAGCAAAATGTTTTGGTGGCTATAGGTGGTAAACTTGAATCTTCATATTCTATAAATATACAGAATATTTATAGATTTCAGATAGTTTCATACATATAAGTCAAAGACTCGATATAAAATAAGTGAAAGTGATTCGGTGTAACTTAATTAATTGAAATGAATTTATTTTCTTTAAAACATTTACAACAGATTATATATAATTTACAGCCACTAGGGATATTGGTCAAAATATACCCCATAATTATTTATCCCAAATCAGTAACTAAACGAAAGGAGAGAAGAAAAGAAGGAAAAAAAAGCAAAAGCACGTACCTAAATGATAGTTAGTCGATTTTGCCTGCGAGCTCATTGCTAATTGTCATTAGAAATAAATTAGTTTGATAGAACATTTATCAGCTATATAGTTGATCCACAAGTCATGCACAAACATATATAATATAATAATGATTATAGATAGTTGAATGACGGATTGGAAAGATGATGTTTGGTGCATGCATGCAGAGAGATGCAGGATAGGATCAACTCCTCAGAATGAGTGGTATTTCTTCAGTCATAAAGACAGGAAGTATCCAACAGGATCAAGGACCAACAGAGCGACCAATGCAGGGTTCTGGAAAGCGACGGGCAGAGACAAATGCATAAGGAACAGCTTCAAAAAGATCGGAATGAGGAAGACACTAGTTTTCTATAGAGGGAGGGCGCCTCATGGCCAAAAGACTGATTGGATTATGCACGAATACCGCCTTGAAGAATATGGTGGCGGTAGTGCAGAGGATCACGCGTCAAACTCCAGTGTAAGCTAATTAACTAATTAGTCATAAATAGCTTAATTAACTTAACTGGAATCAATCATTTCAATTGTACGTACTTTATTATACTAGTTAATAATAATAATAATAATAATAAACTAAATGTTTGGTGATTCAATTGCATGCATGCATGCAGGAGGATGGATGGGTAGTATGCAGGGTGTTCAAGAAGAAGAATCTGTTCAAGATTAATAATGGTGGGAGTGGGAACAACAACGTTAACAACCATATGAACAATATTATTATTAGCGATCATCATCATCAGTCGCCGTTCGGAGGAAGCAGCAACTGCGGATTATCGCTGACATCGGAGCACCATCAGCGACAACAACTCTTAACGCTGAATGGTGCGATGACGACCACCACATCAAGCACCAACCATATTGACGACAATGACGACGATGATGATCATCATTCGCAGCTGCAGCAGCCTACACTAGTACCCGGCAGCCGCTATCACCAATACCTGCTGCAGCCTCCTCCGAATAGCACAGTTGCTGCTGCCGCCTCATATGACCACCTTCAAGCCCCGCTGGCAGCTGACGACCTAGCCCTTCACTACCCACCTGCGCCGCCTTTTTTCCAGATGTCCGCAACAAGATCAACTACTCCCCATCATCATCAGTATGCTGCTGCTTTTCAGGCCACGTTTTTGCCCCCGCCTACGCCTATGATCACAATGGGCGCTTACGAGGACTACGCCGCTGCAGCAGCCTCCAGCCCCTCTCAGGCCTCTCATAATAATGATACAACTAATTCGCCAGACCTTATGGTCAAACAGCTCATGACTTCAACAAGCTGCAGCAGGGACGCCCGCCCGGCCGCTGAAAATGTAAGCTGCATCGATTTGAGGCCCTCATCATCATATCAACCTCTACCTGCAGCTTCTGCTGCTGCAAACTGTGGGTCATCCGGTGTAGACGCGGCCGCTCAACCAGCAGCAACAGAAGGAAGAATCCGAGACGAACAAGGATTGAACCAGTGGCCGGCTATGCAGACGGTTGACCCCCAGATGGTGGTGGCGGGGACTAATATTAATAGTGACAACCACCACGACGACTCTTCTTCTAAAGGAGGAGAATTAGCTGGAGATCAAGGAGGGCCGGCAGCCGTCAGTAGCAGGTTTGAACACAACCATGATCACAACAACAACAACAATAATAATAATGCAACCTCCGTCATCCATAATCTGTCCTTGCGTGGTCATGAGATGGACTTTTGGGGCTACCAGAAATAATGATGCCCACTGCTGATAGCTCTCTACAAGCCTATGCTTGCGTTGCGTGCGAGCCCGTCGCTCCTTTTAACTCATTTCTTTCATTGTTACAAACTAATTTATGTCATTAAACGATTAATTTGTTTGTGAATTTATACCGTAGCATTTATATACTAATATATATACTAGCATGAGCCCCGGCCGATTGGCCGGATCGTCCTTTTCTTTGCGAATAATATTTTATTTTGTCAAATAACATACATTTATCTATGTTTTCATCTGTTTAAAAAATAAATGAGTATTAACTAGGGCTGGCAATCGGTTTCCCGGTTAGCGGCTAACCGGTCGGTTTCGACCGAACCGACCGGTTTTCGGCTAACCGAAAACCGTCATTAATTATATTCGGTCGGTTGTCGGTAGTGAGGGGAGAAGGCTCGGCTAGCCGACCAACCGAGGTCGGAAACCGGCGGTTAGCCGACTAACCGAGCCTTTACCCAGCCTCCTAAACGACCCGTCCCCCTCAAAACGACCCCCTCAAAACGACCCCCAAACCCTAGCCGACCTCTCTCTTCTCAACCCTTTCACCTCTCAAAATCAAAAGTGAAAACCCAGAAGAAGAAGAAGAAGAAAGAAATCCGCCGCCCTCAATATCGCTCTCTTCCATCTTCTCCAATCGCCCCCAATTCGCTCCATCTCTCTCTCTCTCTCGAAGCTTTTTTTCCAAATCCATGGCGGACACGAGGCGGTACAGAGTGGGATACGCATTGCTACCGAAGAAGCAGAAGAGCTTCATCCAGGACTCCCTCGTCTCTCTCTGCCTCGATCGCGGCATCGACCTCGTCCCAATCGACCTTCGCCGCCCTCTAATCGACCAGGGACCCTTCGATTGCCTACTCCACAAGCTCTACGGCGACGATTGGTCCCGCCAGCTCGACGATTTCCGCCGCCTCCACCCCCATGGCACCGTCATCGACTCGCAAGAGAAAGGGTAAAAATCTAGATGGAGAACATTGCATGCAGATGCTTCTTCCAGATTCTTCTTCTCCACAGAGTCGAGATGCAGATGCCTCCTCTTGCTCGCCGGAATGGCCCATCCCGATGTCCATCTACGGCGGCGGCGAGGCAGAGCCGGATGACGATGTGGATTTGGAGGACAGTTTCGGTCGATTGGATTGGGAGCTGTAGCAACCGGCGGTCGCTGCTCTGGAAAGGAAGAAGAAGGGCGGTCGCTGCTTTGGAAAAGAAGAAGAAGAAGAATCGAGATGGTGAAAGGAAGAAGAAGAATGGAGATGGTGAGAGGGCGGTCGGCGGTCTCTGGAAAGTGGATAGGAAGAGAAGAATCGAGAAGTGAGAGGGTGAGGAGTGAGTGGTTCAGATTTTTGTTGCTTTTAAATTTTTTTTTTTTTTTATAAAGGGTATTTTCCGGTTGGCGGTTAACCAGCCTAAAACCGAAACCGACCGGTCGGTTGGCCGGCTAACCGAGACCACTCTCACGGTCGGTGGCCGGTAGGTATGCAGGGTGTCTCGGTTTAACCGATAACCGGGATTTCGGTTTTCGGTTAAACCGAAACCGACCGACTGCCACCCCTAGTATTAACATCTCTTCATTTTAGTTAGGAAATTTTTTTACAATGTCCAAAACAAAACCTGCAATTGGACAACTCAGGAATATATAGAGACAAAAAAAATTAAAATTTATATTCCATCTTAATAACTTGGATTTCCAATTTCAAGATAATTTATTGATATATAGAAAACCCCATCTACATTAACCCATTGAAAAATCCAATTCTTATTATCTATTAAGGAACTAGTGTTTTAAGGGGGGAAAGTCTATGTTCAATAGTACACGATAAAGCTTTTGATCTAAAAAAAAATATTACAAATTTTTAGTTGATTTTTTGTGTTAAGAACATAATATTCTTTGGTGATACCCTAAAGAAAAAAAATGAAAAGGAAAAAATAATTAGTTTAATTTTATTTTTTAATGACTTCTAATAATGAATAACAATGGGTCGTGTTCGGTTGGATTTCTCTAAATTAAAACTCAATTCAGCGTGCACCAATTAAAAAGATTGTTGATATGACTTGAATCGGACTATCAGCCGCTACGACTGGTAATCGGGGGTCTCGCTGCCCGGTCAGCGAGTGGGGTCCAGGGGCAACGCCCCCAGCCCACGGTGTATGGGCTCAATGTTATTTGGGTTCGGGTTCTGGGCCTGGTCTGTAACCGTTTCCTTTGCTAGATTGGATTAGGTTTAGACCCACATGGAGAAGTACTATAAATACTTCTCATACTCCTCTGTAATCTGTAATCTCCTTGATATAGTGAAATCGGCTCTCTCTCGCCCGTGGACGTAGCTAACACACATCGTGTTAGTGAACCACGTAAATCGTGTGTCGTGTTTTCGATTCTCGCTTTCGTATTCTTGCTTTGTCGATTCCGGCTATTTCCCGATCCGTAGCAGCGCGTTTATAACAAAGATGCAAGAAAATACTCATTAGATTTTAGAAGTGAGAACCCAACCTGATGGGTGCATGGGTGCCCATGGGTTCACGAACATAATCGTACATTATATCTTCGAACAAGCACATTATGTTATAAAACAATTCTATAATATCTCTATAAAATCTACTAACATCCATAAATTCTCATATTATTATATTTATATTGCCATAAAGACTAATAATATCCATAATTTCCCGAAATACCACTTATATCCAATTCATTCACATTCTTTAACGGTGTTTTTGGATATACAGTGTATTTAACCAAAAATATATTGGAAAATGGATAGATTTGGCAAAGAACAACTTTAAAACATGGATATGAGTGGTATTCCGGGAAATTTGGATATTATTGGCACAACCGTGAAAGTTTTGGATATACAAGTGTATTAAACCTAAGTTTTATTAGATTAAGCTTCACTTGCTTTTTTTGTTGTTTAGTCTTTTTTTACCTGCATAGCCTTCTAGTTAGTAGCACATTGAGGTTTTTTTCAAATGCAGCTCATAGTCACTCAGTTATGACAACTCTGTTCCTTTCAAGTTGTTTGTGGTTCCCTTTTCGTGAGAATGGTCCATACATGTAAGTAAGTACATTGTTATGTTTCTTTTGCATTTAGGAATCCAATATGGGAATAGACAGGTTGAAGACACCTTCATAAAAAAAAGGCATCGTCGAATTCGTGGTTTCATTCAATGATAAGGGCCCCAAAAAATACATGGACGACGTGCAAATTTGAGTGGATAATCTGCAGCAATGTACAACATCTTATTTGGCTCTACTTCTACGACAATCAATGGTAACGACAACAACGTCAGGTGCAAAAAACTACCATCACAATCCAAAACATTTCATTATGATGTCTATAATGTGGATCAAAGAATATTACTTGCATGATGCCTTGAATTTTTCTCTTGCAAAAGAAAATTCGGACTTATGTTATATAGTTTTTCCTAATGTGAGTCAGGACTTCAAAATCAGAAATTTGTGAGCTTTACTATTCAAGACAGTTGGTACTCTTTGAATGCTTCTAATAGCTTTGCATTCTTGCTCTTATCGAGTTGTGATGTCATTGCTCTTTTAGAATTACACTTATGTCTTTGTGAGAAAAGATGGATTGCTGCCTTTAGTAATTGTTCTTCACGATCTTTGTGTACTTATGTTATATCATTTTTAGTTAGCTTTCTTCGTGCATTTTTTCACTATTTGTGATAAATCAGTTTTCACGACACTTTTTCCCAATCCCTCTACAAAACTCACCGCTACTAGATCCATCAATTCCAATGTCATCTACTGACTTAATACAAGCATTAGCTTATTTTGAGATTAGGCTCGATATATGCATCTCAGTTTGCACCTTAGGTTAGAATGCTATAAGGAGGTGCAACTGTCACCTTAAGAGAGAATACAATGGAGTGATCAAAATGCTATTTGGTCGAGTTATTTGAAAAATTACATATCTAATCACTTTCTTATCATTTTCCCTTCAGCATAACCTTATCATTCTGTTTGCTACCTTTCTCTTCCCGTTTGGTTTTATTTCTATTATATATTTGTTACTTGACATTAGCATGGCATAAGTTGCACTAGGTGTCTCAAAGACGACCACTGCTTGTCAAGCTAGAATGTTATGTTGTTTCCCCTTTCTGACTATTCATGCCTGCATGTATTGATTTGCAGCTCAACAAATACACCACACATTGATGTCACCATCTTTTGTTAAGAACATTAGAGCCTCGCAAGAACTCATTTGCTCATTTTCGGTATACTATATGAAGGAAGATGATGCGTTACTAAAACAACTACTCATGTGCAAGGTCAAAATTAGAAACATTAATTGGTATCATTGCCATCACCATGCACCCAACCTATGTCATATATACCTCCCAATTCTTTCACCTACTTTGCTATGATAAGGTCTTAAGCTCATAACTTAATTGATATTTTAAATCAACTGCCCCTTCTGTTCCTTTTGAACATAAATCCATCCATCATTAACCTTAATGTTTTTGTATGGACTTGAATCTGCTATAGTTTAAATAACCAAAATGCTTTGACAATGTTACTCTTCATAACCTTAATTACCTGTTTATACTCCAAAATTACTAAATTTACAGGCTGCCGGGCAGCACGAGCTTCCATACTAGTTAATTAATTAATATATAAAAGCCTAGGTTGTGAGTTACTATTTATTAGTGGCTCTCACACTCTTCCAAGTCCAAGTGGGGAAGTTCCAAGCCCTTCTTTTACCTCACTCTCCATTCTATAACCTTTGGGTTTAGTTATTGTTCTCTGGTTCGTCTATGGCTTTTTGCACAAATCATCTCCTTTGTGTTTTGTTATTGTTCGCTAGGTTTTTGCCTATGACTTTTTGCACAAATCATCGCCTTTGTGTTTAGTTATTGTTCACTAGGTTTTCGTCTATGGCTTTTTGCACAAATCATCGCCTTTGCCCACCATTTTGCAGCTCATCTCGAAATACTGTCGGCAGAATCCTAAGTTGTTCTCCACCACCGTTTCCCAAGGCCGCTACCACAAGTTTTGTATCGCGACCGAGTTTCATCATCTTTATTGTTTTTTTTTTCCCCCTTTTTGTTGAGTATGATCACAATTGAACCCAAACACATGGGTATCCTAATTTGAATACAAATCATTGCCTTTGCCCACCATTCTGCAGCCCATCTCGAAATAATATCGGCCGAATCGTAAGTTGTTCCTCACCAACGTTTCCCAAGGCCGCTACCACGAGTTTTGTATCGGGATCGAGTTTCATCCTTTTTAGTGTTTTTTATTTCTCTTTTGGATAAATACAATTTATTAGTCAAACCTTTCATTTTAAATAAAATAATAGCCAACCTTTTCAAAAATAATTTATTAGCCAAATCGTTAACTTTCCATCTAGTTGACTGTTAATTGACTCTGACGTTGCCAATTCATGCTGATGTGCCAAAACATAAACAATTGATTGTTGCCACATATATATAAATATATCAAATTTAATTATTTAAAAAATTAACAATAGAAAAACATAGATACCCTCTCATCCCTTCCCCTCCCTCATCTCATCCAATAATCGTCAGAACATCACCAATCAATTTCCCCTCTTCTCCTGCCAAGTTCCAATTCATCCATCCTCTCTAATCCATAACCCCACCAATCGATTTCCCCTCTTCTCCTACCAAGCTTAATTCTTCCATCCTCTCTAATCCCTCACCTGCCATGGAATGGAAGTAGAACTTCTGTATGAGGAGGCAGGGTTCCCAAAGGAGCGTACATCGATGGCGGAGGCGCCTGAATAGATTGGTTTCGCTTTGTTGACCACCGCGGACGGAGGAGGGGGAGATAGATGAATTGTTGTGGAGAAGTTGGACGCCCGACACTCTTTCTCTTTCACTACCGCCATCGATGTCATTTTACTCTCATGATTCGTCGTCGTCAATGTCGTTTCGCCCTTCAGTGGAACTCTGCGATCGAGATCCGCCGTAGCAAAATTGACAGGTTCTAGATCTGGAACGTTCCCTAGCGGGTGGTTGCGGTCTCTATCTGAAAAGGAAACTCCTGTCTTCCTTCCCCAATCGACCTCTGTCCATGGGTTTTACCCTCTCCGCCACCACCACCACTCTCGATCCTAAAATCCATCTAAACGACCATCCGCCGCTGAATCTCGCTTCCGTCAACCAAAAGCTCCACCGACATTACTTCCAATCCTGAAATCCATCTGAAATTACTAGTGGACGCTATTGAGAGACGCAGCGCTGCCGCGTTTTCCCTTCCTCCCCCGACGAACAATTCACGTCGAGCCGCCTCTCCTTGTGCCTAGTGCCTACCCGTCCATCGCCCTTTGCCGCATTTTCCATTCCGCCTACGGGTCTTCTCATAATAGGGAAGAAAGGCAGGAGATTGAGCTGGAGAGGAATTACTAATTAGAGTTGTTGATGTAGAGAGTGCGGCGAACAGATTTTTTTTTTTTTTTTATAAGAAGCCCTGTTATATTATTAATAGAGTCAAACAAATTGGGCTTTTTCGGCCTCGAGAAGACTCCTAATGGAGTAAGGGGGACTATCAGTCCAGATACAAATCTGATCCCAAGAACCATCCAAGTGGGCTAAACAGTGGGCCACAGCATTAGACTTCCTAGGGACAAAAGCCCATTCAACCTTTTTACCCGAGAAAGCTTCGTTGATGGAAGCCAACTCCCTTATCTCCTTGCACCAAATCTCTAACTCTGTGCGGTCCTCTTCTCCTTTGTCCAGCATCTGAATCAGTTTCATACAGTCCGACTCAACAATCAACGCACTCCAACCCCTGCGATTTGCTTCTCGTAGTCCAGCTACTAGTGCTCTTGCCTCAGCTTCCACTGGTCTGCATGTGCCCGATTCCTTCCCCGCTACCGCACCAAGAAAATTCTCATTCCAATCTCTTAACACACAGCCCAAACCAATCCCATTCAGCCTCAAGACTCCTGCGTCGCTGTTCATCTTGAAAGATCCGCTCGGTGGAGGTCTCCAGCCCTGAGGGTTGCTTGGGTGATTCATGTTCGCAGACACCGTGCCCTGAGCCTGAAGGTAATCCGATAGCCAATCGAGAGCTTTAGGGATGATCTCCTCCGCCTCCAACTTCTTATTATTGAACATATGGTTGCATCTTTCTTTCCAGATGAACCAGAGGATAGCACAGAACCTTTGGAGGTTCTCGTTAGAGTGGGATTCAAAGGAATTAAGGAACCAGTCCCTGCCCGAAAAACCTTCCCCCTGCTTGAAGATTCCGTTATCACTGCATGGTTGCCATAGCCGCCTGGTCCAGTCACAGTCTCTCAAACAGTGGAGTTGGGTTTCAGGAAGACCACAGAAGGGGCAATCAGACGGAGCTTCTTCAATCCTGCTTTCCACATTAGTCCCAACTGGTAAGATATCTCTGCTTATTCTCCATAAGAAGATTTTAACTTTAGGTTGAACAGGGAGACGCCAGATTTTCCTCCAGTAGCTTTTTAATCTTTGGGATTCCGAGTTGTCTTCATCCACACTAGGATGTTCATTCTGCCATAGACTCCTGTATGCTGTTTTTACGCTGTAGATCCCATTATCTGCTTCAGACCACACCACAATATCATTCGTAGGAGGATTTCTCAGGGGAATTTTCATAATCTCAGTCTGATCATTAGCAAAGAAAAGGGCTCTCAATTTGGGAATATCCCACCATCCATTATCCCTGTCAATAAGGGAACTAACCCTGAGATTATCCCTGATCTCGTTATCTTGTTGGACTGGCAAGAGTTTTCTAGTATTTGGAATCCACCAGTCATCCCAAACCTTTATACTCTCCCCATCCCCCACTCTCCATCGAAAGCCATCCACTATTTCATCCTTAGGTTTAACCAGGCTTCTCCAAATGTAACTGGGGTTGTTCCCGATCTTAGCATTCAGAATATCACACCTGGGGAAGTAGCGAGCTTTTAGAACCCTTGCCATCAGCGAATCGGGTTGTTGTTCACTTTTTTTTAATTTATTTTATTTTTCTAAAAATTAAAAATGATGTGTGAAATTAGTTAATATATGTGGCATGGTCAAATATTTGATATATTGCCATGTCATCAAAGATTTATCCATTAGGGTCAACTAACCGTTGACCGGACGGAAAGTTAACGGTTTGGCTATTCAATTATTTTTTAAAAGATTTGCCTATTATTTTGTTTAAAATGAAAGGTTTGGCTAATAAATTGTATTTACCCTTTTCTTTTTCCTTTTTGTTGAGCATGATCACAATTGAACCCAATGTAGCTACCGAAATTTCATATCATATCTACTCAATGTTGGCGAGTTTAGCATCGGGATCGAATTTCGTTCGCTTTCGTGTTTTTTTTTTCTTTCACTTTTTTTCCTTTTGTTGTGGTCACGAGCGAGTTTTATCCGCTTTAGTATTTTTTTTATCCTTTTCCTTTTGGTTGAGAATATGGGTATACAACCTAATTCGACCCGACTAAAGCGATTTGAACCCGATTTTATAGGTTTTTGGCGGGAGCGAGTTTTATCTGTTTTTGTAATTGGTGTACATGTTGTGTCAGGTGTGAATTTGTCCAAAACTTGGTCCAAACAGGTCAGAGCGAGGTGAATTTGGTGTTGACGAGCTTTGAGTCGGTAGCGAGTTTTAACTTAGTGTTTTTCATTTTTTTTTTATTTTTTTTTTGTTTGAAAAGAAAACAATTGAACCCAAATTCATGGGTATCCAACCTAATTTAAAAAGATCTAGAGAAACTGCTTCATTCTGCAAAAGTTATAGCAGGATCAACTATTAGCCATACAAATTGAAACATTGGCGTCAAGAAAAAACTTTAAACATAAATAATCTATTATACGACCCTTCTACCTTATGCAAGTTCATCGATCATATGCTATTGTAAATAACAAATCTATAAAAAGAATGATTAAAAATCAAATAAGATTACTTTCATTTTTTGTCAACATTAAAACTATTACTTTTTAAAAGCTATAACGAGCGGACTTTTGCTAGTATATATATAAAGAGCAGCACTTAATTTCCAACCAGACTTGAAGACGGACAGTTCAACTTAAGGAAAGAAATAAAATGAAGGTTGATCGGGCGGACACAGACTGAACATGCGCGCACAGTAGCAAATGGAAAGAAAAGGCAGATCAGAGAGTGGGTACTCTCTCGACAGAGCTGGAAAGGACAGTGAGCAAGTTGTTTGCGAAAGGATCGGTGAGATGCTTAGAAAGGTTCTCGACTGGACCTTCCCCTGTAACATAAGCTTGCAAGAAGAAACCAAGCATCGCAAACATGGCCAGTCTACCATTCTTGATTTCCTTCACCTTGAGGAGTGCGGCTTGATCTGGGTCGCTGGCCAGCCCCAGTGGATCGAATGGCCCGCCCGGGTGAAGCTTGTCCTCCAACTCCTATTAATTCATTCATAAATTAATTAATTCATTAATATATGAGTAACTAGCGAGTACTGTTTCTAGTTGGTTGATTCGCCGTTAACTATTAGGAACAGCACAGAGAAGGAAAACGGTATAATTACCAATCCATTAATAATTCTGTAGTATTCGGCACCGCCAAGAAGGACGACTTCCGCGACAACGGCTACCACAAGGTTGATGGGGATGTTGTTCCCGAAGTAGTTCAGGGTGTTTCCATCCAAAAGCAGAGCTCCTGTCTGAATTCACGTAATCATAGGCACACAAGATAATAAATTATTAACTGCTGCTATATATGCATCCAAAACAATGAAACATTAACTAATAATTGGCTAACAGCTAGATGTATACATGTAATTTACCTTGAACCATACAGCCTCGGGCCCGCAGTTAGCCCCGTACTTGTTGAAAGCTTCAGGGATGATGAACCCAGCAGCTCCAAGCATTGCCCACCGGGCGTGAATCAGCTCGTATGCCTGATACCTGCAACAAATTAAGCAAACTCCAATTACTTGCATTTCATTGTCAAAGGGAACGCAATTGAATGTAATTTGTAAATGATGGTACTTGGCGAAGTCTTCTGGCTTCTTGCTGAGCCCAAAAGGGTCGTAACCATAACTGCAGGAAGAAACAGTAGCGAAGCGATCCATCATTAGCAGTTTTGTACTGTTCAGTTTACTAACGATAGTAATAGTAATAACGATTGGGCGGTGGGTTCTGATATGCTAGCTAGCTAGCTTACTCTCCGGGGACTTCTCCAGTCAGGTACTCGGGAATCTCAGAACGGTCCAACAGTCCTTCGGGAAGGAAGATCCTTCTATCAGGGCCTGATCGACCACGGTGGAAACCAGACACAATCAAAATACAAATTAATACATCTAGTAGCTAGAAAGCGGAGCAGAGTGTGAAACAGGGCAAATGAAAAGCTTTGTTGAGTTGCTGATATATTTTACTCACCATACCACTTGGCGAGTTCTTCGGAGACAGAGGAAACAGCGGGAGCGGGCTTGGATCTGGGAGGAGGAGGCGGGGGAGAAGAAGCAGCCTTCTTGAACTTTGAGAAGAGAGCAACTGTCTTGAAAGCGGAAGTGGAGGAGGGGCCTGATGCGAGGGACCTGCTGCTGCTGCCGCTCCCACCGTTGAAATTCAGAGCATTCCCCAGCATCTCCGACACTCCCAGCGACGCCGCTGCTGTTGACGCTGCCACCGAAGCCGCCATAACTAAACCCCCCACCTCGCCCCCCTCTGAGTAAATGAAACAAGAATATTAAGGAGGCTACCCTCTATCCCTTGCTGCCTTACTTTCTCTCCTCTGTGGTCTGAGACGAGCTGGGAGCTGGCGCTCTGCAGCTGCTGCTCTGTTTTTATGGAATGGATGAAGCATGAGCTAACTTAAATGGGATAGTGGATGACAATGTGACACCTCGGATTCATTGGCGCGGCTCGCCCTGCTTCCCTATAGCTTGCCTGCAATCCCATGCTTAGATTTGATAGGTCGACCCCGTTGACGTGGCAGATTGCAATGCTCTTAATTGCTAAGCCTGAGATGTGCCCGGAATCCGGATGAGGCTGAGGATGTGGTTGTGATGTGGCATATTATAATTTTATATATGGATATTGTCAATTTTTTTGTGGCCCTATATTATAATTATCATGTAAACGGAAGGAAACGACATTGTCCTATCCTGATCGCATTTTTCATGGGCTGAGATAAGGTGATCGTCATACGTGACTAAGTGAATCTCAACCCTTCAATCTCATTTAAATTTAATAGCTCATATTAATCTCATTTAATGAAGGGCAAGATGGTAATTACACAGATTATTTATTTAACAATTAAAATAAAATAAAGTGGGTTGAAACCGCTCTCCCTCGCACGCTCCCCGCCGGCTGTTTCTTGGAAACTCCGACCGACCACCTGGAATTCTTCCGGTGGATAGTTTTCCCTCCCGGACGGTCCCTTCCTGGGAATTTGCCTCCGCTATCCCTTTCAGGGAATTGGGCTGGACATTTTTTTGGTACACAGAGAGAGAAGTTTTTTGCTGATCGGAGGAGACTTTCCGACGACCAACGACCAGATACGGCGGAGAATAATTTTTCGGCGACCAGCGACGGCGGAGAATGATTTCCCGGCGACAGTGCTGGATTTGTGATGTTTGTTGACATATTTTGTAATGTTTGTAAGTTTGGTTTGTAATGTTTGTATCGATTCAGTTTGTATTGTTTATCATTCTTGTTTGTCATTTTTAGTGACATTTTGTACGTTTAGAATACTTTGTACTGTTTGTCGGTTTATTTTCTAATGTTTGTACCCTTTGTTATTTTGTAATATTTGTCGATTTCTTTTGTAATGTTTGTAAGCTTTGTTATTTTTGTGCATCATGTTTATCATTTTTGTCAACCATGTTTGTAATGTTTTTTATGTCTACAAAACTACCTAGTTGACTTTTCGATGAAACTCTTCTATATAGGGATGAAGCATCCAAAGTCAACCCGGGTGTTTTTCTAGTTTGTATGGTTTGTCGGTCTAGTTTGTCATTTTTCTCCAACATGTTTGTAATGTTTGTATGTCTAAAAAAGAACCGGGTTGACTTTGGGACATAGCCCCTCTATATAGGGAAGAAGCCTCCAAAGTCAACCCGATTTTTTTTTCTTTTTGTATTTGTCGGTCTAGTTTGTATTGTTTGTACAATTCATACGTTTGTAAAGTTTGTAAATCTGTTCGTATGTTTTGTCGTTGTAGTTTGTATTGTTTGTATGGTTTGTACTGATTGTAAGTCCGGTTTGTATACTTCGTAATTTTCCATAATACTCAAACTACCCTGTTGTTAGAATATGACTTAAATTTGATTTGGGTTTGTTTTGTGTTTTAGGCCTATTCTGTTTAGGTTTGGGATTGGGTTTTGTTTTGACATTTTCCTTGTATGTTTGGGAAAAGGTGTTTGGTTTTCTGTTTGGGATTAGGATTGACATTTTCCTTGTATGTTTGGGAAAAGGTGTTTGGTTTTCTGTTTGGGATTAGGAGAAGAGTTCTATAAATACTCTTCACCACCCTAATATGTTGTAAGGTTAGTCATATTAGTTTGTTTGGTTTGTTCCTTCCGGAATTTGAGTTTGTAACCTGTACTCTCCTCAAATTAGTGAAATTTGTTCCCTTCTGCCCGTGGATTAGCTAGCACACATTGTGTTAGTGAACCACGTTAAATTTGTGTTCATTCGTGCTGGTTTGGATTATCGATTGCCACACTTCTGTTCTGACAAGTGGTATCAGAGCCTTCTGTGATCGAGAGATTTTGTGTTCGATTCCCGGTGACCCCCATTTGTTAAGCACATGGTATTCTTGTCTTCAGACCTGTGCAAACTTCAAGCCCTTGTAAGTGACTTTCGTTTGAGGGGGCATGTTAGTGTTGTGGTATATGATCCACGATTGAACCTCTCCCAACAACTCGAGTTATTGGGAGCAACTGGTTCATGGCAAGTGGTATCAGAGCCGCGGTTGATCTTTGGGCTATTTGAATTTGTCTTTGCGGTAATTG